CTGGCCTAAGAGTCATAGCCAGTAGGAATGGTAGCTTCTTGACAAATCAGAGTACAAGGATGTGTTCCAGAAACACAAAAAAGTTTAAGAAAATGATATTGCTCTTGAAGGAACTAAACGGACTCTTGCCTTTTGTATTTTAATGTAAAGGAAAATATTAAAATGAATGAATGATATCACTGCTGAAAGTAAAACATTTTCCTGAATACAGATGACATAATGTTATTGTCATGAACTGGAGGTGTGTCTTATTAGACATTTAGATCTGCTATGTGAGATCTGCTGGTTATAGAGCATCTTAGAGTCACAAGGCCCCAAGTTGAATCCTGGCAGTGCCATCTACTCACTTTTATGAGAAATCAAATGGACCTAATAACTACCTTATATAACTGTTATAAGATTACAACAAAATAATGTAAAATAATGCTTTGCGTGGTGTTTGGGTCAATACATGTGAATATAACACTGTTAAAATTGAGTTTTTGATTGAGGTTATGAAGACACAATAGAAGTAAAATTTCTAAGTCAGATCTCCATACTCACAGTTGACAAGGGAATCAGTCAAAGATAGGTATGGCTGCTCTTGGATCTCTCAGCTTGTTAATAATTTAGAAAGGATACGTGGAGTGGAATGGAGGAAGAATTTGCTGATGGCATTTTGCTTTTGAAGAAAGCTGTTGGCACACTATGGGACCCCCTTTATTCCTGGGCTAATGAATGGGACCCCAAACCTAATGAGAGGGTGCTTCAGGAAGACCACTCTGAGGGCTAACTCTCCATCCTCTGCAGTTGGAAGGATAGAACACAGGTGCCTGACTCAGGTTGAGAAGGCTAAAGCATCCTGTGGAAGTAGGATAGAGGTGACTTAGGGCACTAGCCTCTGTCTCCTCCTGGTAATTGTCAGGGCAAGGGATGTGTAAATATTATCTTAGGACCATAAGTGGGTCTCCTAATGAGCAAAAGTGCCACAGCACTGTACATGGACGGTCTGGAGGAGTTCTGGGTTTTGCCCAAGAAAGCTTCTGCTGGAGGATAAGAGGAGACCTGTAAGGGAGAATGTAGTGGGAGAACTGCCCAGGAAACAGAAGCTGAGAGGCGACTGGGTGCAGGCATCCTAGAAATGTCTGTGTCTTAGCAACTGCAGTGAGGGTTCCTTTAGAGATGGGGAAGCCCCAAAGGGCCTGCATGAGTGTCTCAGAGAGGAGTCAGCTTGAGTTTCTGCCAGCAGGCTCAGAGTGGGAAGTCGACTGAGTGTGGCCTTCTCATCTTGACTCCCTCTTCTCTTTGCTCTTAGCCTGAATGCTCAGAACCCAGCTGGGAAGGAAAAGTGGGGAAGCAGCTATAGTAGAGAAACAGAGAGGAAGCCGCCCATACCGTGTTTCCACTGCTGCCTTTTGGCCTGAAACGGGCCTGAGCTGGGGAAGGAGAGAAGATTTGACATCTGATCACGTAGCAGTAGAGTATTTTGGTTATCATCTGGGACTGGGCATCTAGGCTTGAATTGAGACTGTGTTTGTGATTTTTTTTTTTTTTTTTTTTTTTTTGAGACGGAGTCTCGCTCTGCCGCCCAGGCTGGAGTGCGGTGGCCGGATCTCGGCTCACTGCAAGCTCCGCCTCCCGGATTCACGCCATTCTCCTGCCTCAGCCTCCCGAGTAGCTGGGACTACAGGCGCCCGCCACCTCGCCCGGCTAGTTTTTTGTATTTTTTTTTTAGTAGAGAGTGTTTGTGATTTTAAGTGGAAATAAGACTGTCTAATACCTAAAAGTGGGCAGAAAAACTTTGCTGGAGCTTTCATCTAGGGACAGGGGAGTGTTATTCTCACAGACTACAAATTAAAGACCACTGGGAAGAACATGAAAAGTGTATGCTTTAATTATTCGTTGCACTTGTCTGCTGTATTGGTTGCATTACTGTGGTTGATGTTGTGTTAGGAAGGTCAGGCGCGGTGGCTCACGCCTGTAATCCCAGCACTTTGGGAGGCCGAGGCGGGTGGATCACGAAGTCAGGAAATCGAGACCATCCTGGCTAACACGGTGAAACCCTGTCTCTACTAAAAATACAAAAAATTAGCCAGGTGTGTGGCGGGCGTCTGTAGTCCCAGCTACTCAGGAGGCTGAGGCAGGAGAATGGCGTGAACCCGGGAGGCGGAGCTTGCAGTGAGCCCAGATGGTGCCACTGCACTCCAGCCTGGGCAGCAGAGCGAGACTCTGTCTCAAAAAAAAAAAAAAAAGAAAAGAAAAAAAGAAAGGTTACCTTCATATTCAGTGTTGTACACCTAAAGTCTTGATTTTTGTTTGATATTTCTCTGCATGTTTCTGGCTTATAGCAAATACTCCTATACTGCAAGTCAACTCAGTTATTTAGGAGGGCGTTTTGTAGCCAGGTTTCTCACAGTCCTTACTAGAAAACTTATTTGCTTAAAGTTAATATTCTATGTGTATATTACTGAATATTTTTATATCCAAGGTGAAAATTAGGTAACATTTACTTTAATAACCTTCTATAATTAAATAATGCAGCATGAACCATAATATAGCAGTTTGGAGACTTGATGTCCCATTTGCTCATAAACAGAAGCAAAACACCGATATTTTAAAAGTATTATTTTAAATTGAAGTGTGATACACGTAATAAAAATGCACAATTGATAAGAGTTTAGTTTGGTGAGTACAAAGTGAATACACCCAGGTAACCAGCACCAAATTAAGAAACAGAGTAAGATTAACATCCCAGTCACTGACCCCTGATATCAATAGTTTTGCTTATTTTTATTTATTTATTTATTTATTTATTTATTTATTTTAGAGACAGTCTTGTTCTGTTGACCAGGCTGAACTGGAGTATAGTGGCGCAATCATTCCTAACTCACTGCAGCCTTGACCTTCTGGGCTGAAATAATCCTCCTGCCTCAGCCTCCCAAGTAGCTGTGACTACAGGCGTGTGCCACCAATAGTGGTTAATTTAAAAACAATTATTTTTGTTATTATTTTTTGTTGAGATAGGGTCTGCCACCATTGCCTAGAGTGACCTTGCACTCCTGGCCTCAAGCAATTCTTCCATCTCACCCTCCCAAAATACTGTAACTAAAGGTGTCAGACACCACTGAGCCCAGCTCAGCCTTGCTTTTTATTAATGAGATTGTATATTTGAGTTTGCGAGATTCATTCATATTGTTGTGTGTAGCTGCAGTTGTTGTTTATTTACAAGTCTGCATTCAACCAGATGACAATATTTTAGCTAATTCAATTGTTTATTAGTTGATAGACATTTGGATAGTTCTATTTATTGGTTGATGGACATTTGGATTGTTTCCAGGTTTAGACCCTTACAAATCAGGCAACTAAAAACATTGTTAAACACATGTTTTGGTGAATATATTGTGCACTTTTATTGATTTTATGCTTAGGAGTGGAATTACTGTATTACATGTATGACTATGTTCAACTCTAGTAGATAAGGAAAAACAGTTTTCCAGAGTGGTGGTAAAAATTGCTCTTCCATCAACTGTGTGTGGGAAGTGACTCCACTTCCTTGTTAATACTGTCTTTTTTCATTTTAGCTTTTCTGGTATGTGCCAGTTCCTTTTTTTGAAAAAAAAAAAAAAATTTGTCCTAGCTATTGGCATGCCCTCAGTAAATCTCCATATGGGAAGTGGGATGTCTTCTTTCCTTTCATAAGACCATCACACCAGCCTGACTACTCATTGAAGCATGAAGTTCTATATTTAGCAAGGAATGCAGAATAACATTCTGGTGGTAAATGCTGCCCAATATTTATCAATAACTTTGCTAAGTGAAAGCATAGGTATAAAGTGTGTTAGTCAATATTTTGAATGTAAGTGCGGAAATCCCTATTCAAAATAGTTTCACCAAAAGGGTAGTTAATTGACTCTTGTGGCTGAAAAGTCAGGCTTGACTGGCTCCTGGGATTAAGCTTCACTTTCCAAATCAAGACTGCCTCCCACTAGGCTGCTTCTCTTCTAAGGCAAGCTTGCTTCCTGCCTAGAGGCCAGGGTTCTGCCAATAGCTCCAAACTCCCATCAGTAAACCAAAACCAAAATAGCAGCCACAGCAACAAAACTCTTCCTGTCTTTCTGGAACTATCAAGTCCGGAATTGGGGTTCCTTGGCTCTTATTGCACTAATTATGTCTCTTTTGGCTCCAGGTGGCTATCAGGTCCCTTTGGACCGCATGCTTTTAGAGAAGCAACAATTCTCTGAGGAAAATTGGGGGTGCTGTTAACAGAAGAAGGGTCAGTGGTAGGTGGGCGGCAAGAGTAACAAAATAACCACTGCAAGTCAGACTAGATAAATATAACACAGTCTAGTTATTCCTGTAGATCCTACGGGACTCACCCTTGGATTAAGCAATACTGCTGGAACATTGCATATGTGGATTGCATCATTTTAGGCTCTGTGGAATTGCTTTTATTGAACTGTGTTAGGACATTCTGTTACCAGACTGCATTGAGGTACAATATAATGAACAGTCCTGAGGAATTCCATGCATTATTATAAGACGGTATTGAGCACACTGTTTATTTCCATTGCCACATTATAGGATTTCATGGGAGAAATTTCTCCCTGGTCTCTACACCAGGAAGAGTCAAACTGTTCCTAAAAACCTTTCATGATTTTATCTTATGGATACTGTGATTCCTCAAAATGGTAGGGTTTCCTTCTTTGCGTTGCTAGAGTGATAGAGTCAATTTTATGGCTTGTTTTAATCAAGTATGCTAGGCTTTGAAGCATGTATTCTTTTAGTGCTAGCCTCACCCCTTTATTTTTATATTTCCTTCAGTATTATTTCCCAGTTCTCACACTCTCTCTTTTGTTCTATATTCTTTGGAAACTTTCTCAAATCTTTTCTGAGGCGAAGTTGAGAAATTTGTATAATTTTATGTATATTTCATTTTATGCATTGAAAATGTCACCACAAAGTAAATAAATCTGCTGGGCTTTAGGAAGAAGTTTATTAACAGGAATTATTTTGGGTTCCAGTTTTAGATGGAGGAGTTGTAAAACACTACAGAATTAGAAGACTGGATGAAGGGGGCTTTTTTCTCATCCGGAGAAGAACCTTTTCAACACTGAACGAATTTGTGAGCCACTACACCAAGACGAGTGACGGCCTGTGTGTCAAGCTGGGGAAACCATGCTTAAAGGTGAAAATGCTTTCAAGCTGTGTTTGCTTATTGAAGTTAACTTTTTTCCTTCAGCTATCTGAGTATTTTTCATGGAATATCAGTTCAGGAAAAAAAATTGTCATTTTATTACCTGAGGCAGGTATAGGCAAACCATGGCCCATGAGCTCACACTGACGTATGCTTGTTTTTGTAAATAAGTTTTATTTGCTCAGATGCTCATTCATATATGAGTTTTCTTTGGATTCTTTTGTGCCATAACAGCAGAGTTTAGAAGCTGCCACAGAGACCATAGGGCAGGTGGTAAACTAGAATGTGAGTTCTTGGAGGGCAGGGGTCTTGCTTGTTTTGTTTATAGAAAAGCACCTAGTCAATGCTTAAAACAATTTTACTTACTAAATGAATGAGTAAATAAATGAATGAACAAATAAAGAAATGAAAAAATGAGTTTGAAAAAATAAAACATTTAATTATGCAAAATAGATGATACATATAATAAAACTATAGCCAAAGAGTTTGGGAAGGATTTGTGGGTGAGATGGAACTTCAACTGGGCCTTGAAACTGAGAGGATTTAGGTAGGTGAAGAGGTACAGAGAAGTCATTCCAGACCTGAGTGAGGATGGCATTAGGTATGGGATCAGACAGGTTGACAAGAAGGTGCCTGACTTCCCAAGATTTGGAAGATCAATTTGAAGAGATAACAGTGCAGATTCTCCCACCATACTTTTTGTTTTTGAAGCAATAATAATACAGTTTACAATATTTTGTTTTAAAAAATGTTTTATTTAAAAGTACCTAGACTATTATTTTCAACAAAATAATATTAAATATACCCCCCCCTTTTTTTTTAACAATTGCTCTTATTATTCTATGAAACAGATCCAGGTCCCAGCTCCATTTGATTTGTCATATAAAACTGTGGACCAGTGGGAGATAGACCGCAACTCCATACAGCTTCTGAAGCGATTGGGATCTGGTCAGTTCGGCGAAGTATGGGAAGGTCTGTGGAACAATACCACACCAGTAGCAGTGAAAACATTAAAACCAGGTGCGAGAACTATAAAGGTTAAATGGCATATGTTGATTTTTATGAGCTCAATTTAGCACCGTAAATATCTAAGAGGTCATGGGGTGGCTAATACTGGCAGCAAGCAGGTGTTGTGGTCATTCTCTCTAGCCCAGGTGACCCAAACCTATGGATAAGGCATTAAAATATAAAAACAAGAGCACACTTCCTGGTTCAACTGAGTCTTAAAATATCACTGATTGAAGAGTCTGACAACTCATCTCTTCTCTGGAGTTAGGATTCAGTCTTCCAATGTCCTTCTTCCCATTTTGTTCTTAGCCTTAGTTAACAGATACTGACTTAACTGAAAATATTTCAAAAATCAGAAGGAATCTTGATACTATTCAGGAAACAACTATTTCTAAAAGTATTACTTTTCTATGGTTCAAAGGCAAAATGGTCCATCCAAAGAAACTTGTATTTGAAAATGTAGGAATTTTTTTTCCCTTCCATCTTCCTTTTTCCTGTGATGGCAACTAAAATTATACTGAAATCAGTATTTATTCAGCCAGGCTTTATTCCCTCTATTTAAAAGAGAGACTAAGTAACTTCCCACATACTTTCTAGTTATGTGATCTTGAGCAAAGTTTTGAACTCTATGCTTCAGTTTTGTCATTTGTGAAACAGAAGTAATAATAAGGCCAGCCAAGAAGATAAATTAGGTCATTAGTGGAAACGCTTTGTATAGTACCTGGTTTACAGTAAGTGATGGATAAAAACTATTATTATAATAATGAAAAAGTCAGTAAATGGCATAGCTGGGATTTGAACCCACATCTATTACTATTGCATCACACCCCATGGAAGTGACAGTCTATAAAAGTGCAACATTGCTGTAGTAACCTCATGTGTACCTTTATAACAGAGGTAAGAATAATCAACATAGGCAAGATTGTAGTTTTCTGGGAGACCTGCATTATTTACCTAGCCCAGAATTCTTAGAGGTTTGGTAATTCTTAGAGGTCTGGTGGCAGAACTTGAGCACTTGGGATTTGATTGCTGGCAGGATAGGGTAACACTATGGTTCCCAAACTGTGTGCCAAGGCTCTTGGGGGCACCACGGTGAATTCACAGGAGTGCTGTGGAATACTTAAAAGTTTTGAAGTTAACATCCTGAATATTGTACAAGCTGCTACCTTTAAGTAGTTCACGGTTTCAACTTTAAAACAACATTCGTTTTGTTGACATCGTATCTTTGTAAAGCTGGGTTTTTGATGGTTGCTATGGTCAAATGCAAAATCCACACAAAAATCAATATGGACCAGAAAATGGGGGTAGCAGTGCTCCGTCTGATTCTAAGATTGGAGAAGTTGTGCAGTGTCCCAGGAATGCATATATCACTTTAGTAAGCACTTGTAGTTAAGAATTAAATGAAAAATTGTCTTTTCCTTTCAATTTACCTGTGTTGCTTTTTCAAATGGCTATTACATTGTTAGGATAAATACTTCTTAACTTGTTTGGATCTAACCCAGTAATCAAAAAAACTGTTAGTTTTTTTTGTTTTTTTTGTTTTTTGTTTTTTTTTTCACGTAGAGACATCATGAAAAAAGTTATGGAGACACTAAGGGTTCCAGGAACTGAAAATGTTGGGATCCTCTGGTGTAACATGTTAACAGTGTCAAATTTGATATAACATAAATCTGCGTTTAAACTTGGCTCTCCCCTCTGTGACTTTGGACAATTTTTTAACCTTTTGGAATCTTCTCGTCTGAAAGTGGGAAGCATAATAGTTCCTACTTTCTAAGATTTTATGAGGACAAATGGAGCCAATGTACGTAAGGTATATGCAGCAAGTTCTTAATAAATGTTAGCCTCCATGGGGCTGCTGACAGATGTGTCCACTGAAGTGCAAACTTACTAGTGTAGGAATTCAGTTTCAGCATTTTCATCTGCCAGATGAAACAAGCGACAGGCACTTTTAAGTGGCCAGGTGCTATATGAGTGCTCCAGGTGAGGACATTCTATTCTAGCACCTGAGATTTTCACAATCACTATGTGTATATGCTTTTAAACCCTAATCTTGTTAATAAATGGTGGCTAAACTTTATTGTCCAACCTAATAATTCTTTTCTAAGAAGAGGCAGCTAGCTAGCCTTCCTAACACTGTTCTCTAAGGAAGCCCTTTGGGAAGTCAAAAGACAACCAAAAAAGTCAGATTTCTCATATTTAAAAAAAAAACAAAAAACACGATAGCTTTCTCTCCAACAGGAATAATTATTATTGATTTACAGTGTAATAGCCACAAACAGCTTTTGTGATTGGTTAAATGTCTTCACTTCACTGGGGCCATTAATCAATCTTAGCAGCTATTTATTGCTTAGCAGGCTACTACGCAATAAAGATGAGCCTGAAATGAACTCCTACAGTAGCTTTGACAGGAAAAAATTAATATTTAATGTTACATTGCTAGCTGAGTTGAGATTGGGCTTCCTTTACTCTGCAGCTGGTGAGCTATAACCAGCATGGCCATGAAGGAGTGCTCTGAAACAGTCTTCACCTGAAGAGGCTTCTGACCTACTGTGATTTCAGTTCTTGTGCATAGTCTGATTTGGGAATGAGTTTGAGTGTCCTACATTGCTTGAATCTGATGGTCACACAACATAGAAATTTCAGTAACATAAATATATATTGCATATATAATTTTCTTTGTCTTTTTTTTTTTTTCTTTTCTTTTCTTTTTTTTTCCCAGGCTGGAGTGCAATGACATGATCTCAGCTCACTGTAACCTCCACCTCCTGGGTTCAAGTGATTCTTCTGCCTCCAAGTGATTCTCCTGCCTCAGCCTCCCGAGTAACTGGGATTATAGACACCTGACACTATGTCTGGCTAATTTTTGTATTTTTAGTAGAGACATGGTTTCACCATGTTGGCCAGGCTAGTCTCCTAACTCCTGACCTCAAGTGATCCGCCTGCCTTGGCATCCCAAAGTTCTGGGATCACAGACATGAGCCACCGCGCCCATCCTCATTTTCTGTATGGTGATCATAATTGCTGCTATCACTGGAAGCTTATATTTTTTGGGTGGTAGTGGGGGGAATCCCCACTGTGTTGATATTTGACCATAGGCCAAACTAGTTGTAACAATCAAGAACAAAGTCCTTTATTATGGTTTAGGTGTCTCTTATTCTCAGCTCCATTTTGTGACTATGATTCCAAATTTTAATCCTATTTGACTGTGTGGAGTAAACCAGTGGTAGAGATGGAATTGATGGAGCTCAGAAACATGTAACGGAAAAGAGAATCGGCCATTTTCTCCTATTCTCTCTCTTTAAGTCCTTGTCCCTTTTCTTCCTTAGCCTGTGAAATATACTTACAGCTGGTCTGTTTCGTTTTTCCAAGACTATGCATTATCAGTGATAATATAAATAATGATCAACTGTCACTGAATACATACGTGCAGGCATTGCTATTATCTTGTTAATGATCTTATGATGTCAGTAAAATGATTAGCCATGTTTTACAGATGAAGAAACTGAAGTTTAGAGAGGTTTGATAACTTGCTCAAGATCACACAGAGTGCTAGTGGCAGAGCTGAGATTTGTCTAGAATGCAGAGTCTGATCAGTCCAGTTCTGAACTTGTGGGTTCTCAAAGGGGAGACTGCTCAAATGTTTTATGTGAAATGATGTGCAGGTCACATGTAACTAACTCAACTTCACATTAATAAACAAGTCACAGTGTTGTCTGAGAATGTCAAAGCTTATCCATGCCTGGGTTTAAATATCAGTTATAAAGTCTTCAACATCGAGAGGATGATGAATGTAGTAGTCTCTTGGAGCATCAATGGAAACTATATTTGCATTATTCATAGTGAACACTAAGATGTGAAATGACAGTATTCCTTTAATTACAGTAATGCCTCTGAAACATCATATTCTAAAAGAAAATATTTTAAAATTACTGGTGAAATGTAAACTCCAGATAATCTTCCTCCTCTTAGATTTTATTTGATGGCAACTACTTGACACCTTGTGTGGTGAGTCAGAGTGGAGCCATTAAAATATGATTTAATTGCAGACAAGTCTTCTAAATAGGCCTTAATATTGTCTCTCCTCCAATAGCCATGCTATTAAGGCTCTGACTGTGGAAGCAGATAGTACAGGAGAAAATATTAAATATCAGTTTCAAGTTGAACATATAAAACAGGTGAAAAAAAACCCATTAACTTTTGGGGATGGTCTTGGATGTTTTCCACTTGGCCTACACACTATATTCCTACAGAATTAAAGATAAAATTATGGCAGAATGTCACTGTTTTAGGATTTTTTCCAGCTGTTCCCACAGTGGGCACCAAGGACAGGGCAACTATCAGACTCTGGCTGCAGTAATCAAATATTCAGTGACCTTCAGTGCTCATGTTAATAGAATGTTTTCCTTTTGTGTTAAGATGCCTTGTTTTATCAGTTAGATTATCAGTCTCTCCCTTTTCCTTCATTTTTCATGTAGACCTGAATCTACCTCTCTTCACCTACAGGTCATAACATATAAACCGTATACTCCTGATGCACCAACACATCCAGTTATTAGGTTGCTCTGGCTGAACTGATTCTCTTCTTGATAACTCTGAAGATTTGTGACACTGATGCTCTTACTCTACTGAGAAGCAGGAGACAATCTTGATGATTCCCACCAGGCTGCTGTAAGGATAGGAATGCCTCAATAACATAAAGTGATTTCTGCCTCTTCTTGTTTCAGGTTCAATGGATCCACGTGACTTCCTGAGGGAGGCACAGATAATGAAGAACCTAAGACATCCAAAGCTTATCCAGCTTTATGCTGTTTGCACTTTAGAAGATCCAATTTATATTATTACAGAGTTGATGAGACATGGAAGTCTGCAAGAATATCTCCAAAGTAAGCAAAGACTTAATATAAGGAAAAAAGAAAAAAAAGAGGAATTTAGTTTAGCTAGTCCTATAAATGTCAATTTAGCAAGCCTTCTGTAACCCAAAGGATATTTACTATGTGTATGTCTGTGAGAATGAATGTCTTAACATTGAATGGCTCAGCTACTATTTAATAGGTTATATATTGTATACTCAAAAGGTGGAAAATACTTATGCAGTGGAAGAGAAAATTTTTCACAACAGATATTTTAGAGTAATTGAATGTAACGTGGGAAATTAAAGAATGGATGTTTTGCATGAAGCTTTATTTCCTACACTAACTGAACATTATCAGTTATGGACCAATATTTTCTATGGCACAGAATTCGGGGACATGGAATACATTTGGGGCAAAAAGGAGGGAAGTATCCTATGTTTATTTTCTTTGCCAGTAGTTGACAACATTGTACTTGTTGCTGTTTAAAATACATCCACTGCTAGGCAACATAAGAATTGTCAGGCAAAAAAGCAGCAATATACTATTGCTTTATTTCTCTATTTGTTTCCTATAGTCAGAAGACTGAAGGGCATTGTGAAATTTTGATGTTTATTACAAATGGATAATTTAGTAAACAACAATACAGTATAATGAGCATTAAAATGAGATGTTCAAAGAAGGTGAGATCAAGTACTGACAGAATAATTCAAGCTTGAAAAGGAGACTTCTATAATTTCTTGAAATGTCAGGGTGGGAATGATAGAATGTATAGAGGTAAAGGGAGGTGAGAATGATGAAACAAAGATTTCAGAAACATAAGAATATCCTCTGATTTCAGGATGTCTTGTGAAGCTGGTAACATTAAACTATAAAACAAGATAAGAACAACAAATAACATAATAAGGCCTGTTGAATGCCATTAAAAACAGAAATATGCTCAGCTTCATTGCAGAAAAATATTGAATTTAACAGCATCAGAATATGTTACCCACCATAGAAAGATTAAACTCAGCTATTAAATAACCACTTTTGCCTTATTCCCAGGAGGACAAAGTGCAAACGTCGTCTTGGGTCATATCTAGCAAAAAATGCTTTATAAAGGTCCCTAATAGTATTCACATAATTACATCTAATGGCCTATTCCCCATCCTCAGATCTACCGACAGCATTTAATTCAATAGACGCTTTCTCCTCTTGGAAACATTTCCTTCATTTGGCTTTCAGGACACTTCACTCAATGGCATTTCCTCCTTCCTTTCTTGGTGATTCTTTTCAACCTATGTGATTTCCTTCATTCCCAGACCTCTCAGTATCTTGGAGTTCTCCAAGACTGTTCACAACATCACTAGTTCCCTTATTAATTTCATCTAACCTCATTGTTTAATTTTTTTGTGTCCTGACAATTCTCCAAATTTTATTCCCCCTTTACTTGAGAATCATACCCAACTGCCTTCTTAACTTCTCCATTTGAATATTGTATCAGTCTGCATAATGTAAATATGCTGCAATAACTAACAGTCTCCAAATCCCCAAGGGCTTAACACACATGTTTATTTCTAATCCATGCTACGTTGCAAAATATGTTGGCTGGTGGCTCAGTTCTTTTGATCACCCTGGCAGAGAAAGGGGATGAGACTAATCTCACCCTGATTCTTAAAGCTTCTGACCAGTAGTGACAAAGATAATTCTGTTCCCTTTCCATTTGGACAAATCAAGTCAAAGAGGGTAGGGAAGTACAATTCTGTAAAGTGCTTGAAAAGATGAAAAAATCATTGTTTGTGAACAGCCCTAATTTCTACTATAGTAGAAATGTCTATTAGACATCTCAAGATGACATGCCCCAAATTGATCTCCCTGTATTCTCCCCAGTAATCTGCTACTTTTGCAGTCTTTCCTTCATTGACCATATCAACACTCAGGCCTAATACCTTGGCATCGTCTCTGCTTTTCATGTTCCATCTCTAACCTGCTAGCAAAATCCCATTGGCTGGCCTTCAAAATATATAGAGGATTTTACCTCTCCTCAATGCTCCTACCCTGATCCAGGCTGCCATTTCCTTTCTCCTGAATTCTACAGTAGCTCCCGTCTAGTCTTCATCTTCTGGTTCTTGTCGCCTTCAGTTTCGTCTCAACACAACAGCTAGAGAGATACAGTTAAAATGTAAATCAAAGCATGTGTAACTCATGAAGTCCTGCATGGCCTGGCTCTCTATTCCCTCTCTGATCTCATCTTCTACAACCTTCCCCTTGCTCAGTGTGTGTCAGCCATACTAGCCCTCTTTGCTATTTTTTCCTACCCTCTGAGCATGCTTTTGCCTCACTCATTATTTCCTCTGCCTGAATTTTTTTGTTGTTTTGACATTTATCCACATGCTCACTTCTAATTTCCTCAAAACCTCTACTTAGATGTTTCCATCTTGGTGAGTGCTTCACTGGTCACCCTCTGAATTTTAAAATTTAATCTCTTTCTACTGACTCTTAAAGTATTCCTTTTCCCTTGTTTTTTATTTTATCCTCTTGGCTTCTTACAGTGTGTATCTTATTTATTTGGCTTGTTTTTAGTATCCTCTGAATATAACTCCACACAGGCATATAGTATTTTCTTTGTTTCAGAGTTAGAACAGTGTTTGGCACATAAGAGAGTATGTACTAATTAGGTATTGAATAAATAGATTAAGTTGGGACCATCTTGAACCTAACAAGATTGGGACTTGGAGTCAAGCTTGTTTTGAGACTCTTGTATCAGCTTGAAAAGATCCACTTGGTACGTGGCCAACTCCTCTGGCATTGAGGATTTTTGTGGCTTGGTAATGTGGTTTACTCGGGGCTAAGTATGAACCCTATCAGCTTCAGAGTTAGGCCATTAGGGTCAAGTTTACCAGTGCCTTCATTTGTGAGGATGATGCTTTGCAGCCAGGAGGAGTAATGAACATGTGCTCACTGCAGACAGCTCTTTCCCCAATCAAGAGGGTTCACATTCAATAAAGCGATCTTAAAAGTGGATGTGCCACTCTTAAGCAGCCCATCATAATGAATATTATTAAGCTGAAAGATTCTTGAGTAATGGAATATAGTTGAAAATATTTTCTTGCTGCAAATGTAAATTGTCATAGATTTGTGAACTTTTACATCAGTTTTGACCTCTGTTGGTTATATTAAAAGTATGTGTTGAGGTTTACTTAGGCAGTACTGAGGTTACTGCACCCTTCAAAGTAGGAAATGTGTGTCACTCAGTTTCCTCCAGTATTATGCCTGTCAGTGCAAACCTTTTTCTATCCACTGTAATAGAATTAGGTGTCATATGTGATAGCTGAAATAACATACGCATTTTTTCTATATAACCATTTTTGTAGTTTCTAAGCTTGGCTGGATAATTTTTGTAATACATTTCTGCAAAATGAGAGAGATCTGTAAAAAAACTTTAGTATTGAGGGTAATTAATGACAGGTACATCTTGTTACAATTTAAAGAGGATAAATAGCTCTATTTTTAAAAAGTTTAGTTTGACTTGTTTTTTCCCCAGTAAATACTTATAGAACATCTTTTATATGTCAGACAACTTGTTACCTATTCCTTTGAGTAATAGGAATCCTCATGAAATGGGTGAGAATAATTGCAATCCTTACTTCATATAGTTGTTCAGAGTATTAAATTAGGTGATTGACTGGAAATGAACTATACAAGATAGTGATAGGAGAGGATCATATATATACTTTTTTTCCTTTAAAAACACTGTAGTACTTTGTGACAGGCAATTTATAAGTCTTTTATAAATATTAACTTAATTCATTTTTCTTTGTTTTCAATTACTTTTATTTTTTAAAATTATACTTAAAATTCTGGGATACATGTGCAGAATGTGCAGGTTTTTTACATAGGTATACATGTGCCATGGTGGTTTGCTGCTCCCATCAACCTGTCATCTGTGTTAGGTATTTCTCCTAATGCTATCCCTCCCCTTGCTCACCACCCCCCAACAGGCCCCAGTGTGTGATGTTCCCCTCCCTGTACCCATGTGTTCTCACTCTTCAATTCTCACTTATGAGTGAGAGCATGCGGTGTTCGTTTTTCTGTTCTTGTGTTAGTTTGCTGAGAGTGATGGTTTCCAGCTTCGTCCATATTCCTACAAAGGACATGAACTCATTCTTTTTTTATGGCTGCATAGTATTCCATGGTGTATATGTGCCACATTTTCTTTATGCAGTCTAACATTGATGGGCATTTGGGTTGGTTCCAAGTCTTTGCTATCGTGAATAGTGCCGCAATAAACATGCATGTGCATGTGTCTTTATAGTAGAATGATTTATAATCCTTTGGGTGTATACCCAGCAGTGGGATTGCTGGGTCAAATGGTATTTCTAGTTCTAGATCCTTGAGGAATTGCTAGACTGTCCTCCATAATGGTTGAACTAATTTACACTCCCACCAACAATGTAAAAGCATTCCTATTTTTCCACATCCTGTCCAGCATCTGTTGTTTCCTGACTTTTTAATGATCCCATTCTAAGTGACGTGACATGCTATCTCATTGTGGTTTTGATTTGGATTTCTCTAATGATCAGTGATGATGAGCTTTTTTTCATATGTCTGTTGGCTGCATAAATGTCTTCTTTTGAAAAATGTCTGTTCATATCCTTTGCCCACTTTTTGATGAGGTTGTTTTTTTTTCTTGTAAATTTGTTTAAGTTCCTTGTAGATTCTTGGTATTAGACCTTTGTCGGGTGAATAGATTGCAAAAATTTTCTCCGATTCTGTAGGTTCCCTGTTCACTCTGATGATAGTTTCTTTTGCTGTGCAGAAGCTCTTCAGTTTAATTAGATCCCATTTGTCAATTTGGGCTTTTGTTGCCATTGCTTTTGGTGTTTTAGTCATGAAGTCTTTGCCCATGCCTATGTCCTGAATGGTATTGCCTAGGTTTTCTTCAGGGTTTTTATGGCTTTAGGTCTTATGTTTAAATCTTTAATCCACCATGAGTTAATTTTTGTGTAAGACGTAAGGAAGGGGTCCCATTTCAGTTTTCTGCATATGAC